ACTTGGGGCGACGTTCGGGCCTGGGCTCATGTTGAGATTAATTTATTCCTGTAGTCCTACTGTTCTGTGATGCATCCGAGTGCCTTGCCTGTGTGTGAAAAATAAAGCCGGGAGTTGGAGCCATCTAATTAGACGGCTTAACCCAACGTGCTGGTGTTCGGTCTCCACCAAGCTCTCTTGCTTTGATGCTAACCAAAATAGATGAATAAGTTAATCAGAGGTCTGATTAAATAGCACAACTCTGTGGCATGGGCTGGTGATTGCCAAGCTTCAGTTCAGGCAAATTCTCAGGGGAGTGAGGAAACCAAGCTGAGTTCCAAAGGCCTGGGCTTACATGAGGAAGAGTTTTATAAAACCCATGGGAGGGAATTATTCAGAGTCCTCAGGCCTCAGATCTTAAGGTGATGGCTGACCTGGAAGCTGACTTCAAAGGAAGACTATGGTTTGGGGAAGGAACACAAACATTTCGCCTGGCAGATTCCAGCTACAGCTTTGCATCTTGCTTGGTGAGGATTTGCGACTAATCAGTCACCTTCCTGTGCCATCCATCTGTCTGTCCATCTATCCATCTGTCTTCCCATGCATCCTTCCATCTCCCCAGCCATCCTGCAGATGTGTGTTGTGTCTGTGATGTGTAAGGCTTGGTGCTTTGATCTTGCCATCATTTGCTTAAATTAATGGCCATTCTACTGTGTTAGGTGTGTCCCTCTGGGTTCTTTCTGATCTTTCTTCACTCTTCCCCTTGGGCTGACACCTAAGGGCTGCAACCCCAAGCTTACTTTCTCACTGGATTTTGTTTGGGTTTACCCAGTGGGGTGCCCTGGCAGGAGTCCTAGGGGCAGGAGGAGAGGGGGAGCTGAGATCTCTCTCCCTGATCCATCCCGAGGGATTGTTGCAGCAAGGTCATGTCCCTCTTCTGAAGGTCACTGCTCCTGCTAAGGGCCTTATTCATCTGACTCCCCTCTTTGGATACTAGAAGAAGCTGGCATTGGCCCTTCATGCCTGGAGTGGTAACGACCCCCAACTCTTCCCCTCCCCAAGCCTGCCCAGTGCCTTGTTTCTGCCCTTAAATTCTGCATTCACTCACACTCTGACCGATAATAATACACTGGGAGTGACTCCCTTTTATAAACGGCAGAAACTCAAGCCTAGCAGACTTGACCAAGTTGACATGGTGATTAATTGACAGTGTCAGAATATGAGCGCAGGTATATATCTAACTCCAGGACCCAAGGTTCAGTTCTGTACTAGATCCCAGAGATGCCCCCAGCCTTCAATATGAAGCACTGAAGAGGCGCACGCCTTTGTGTGTTAGTTGCTCAGTTCGGTTCAGTTCAGTGCCTCAGTCGTGTCCGAGTCTTTGCCGACCCCGTGAACCGCAGCATGCCAGGCCTCCCTGTCCATCACCAACTCCCGGAGTTTACCCAAACCCATCTCCATTGAGTCGGTTGCCATCCAACCATCTCATCCTCTGCCGTCCCCTTCTCCTCCTGCCCTCAATCTTTCCCAGCATCAGGGTCTTTTCAAATGAGTCAGCTCTTCGCATCAGGTGGCCAAAGTATTGGAGTTTCAGCTTCAACACCAGCTCTTCCAATGAACATTCAAGGCTGATCTCCTTTAGGATGGACTGGTTGGATTTCTTTGCAGTCCAAGGGACTCTCAAGAGTCTTCTCCAACACCACAGTTCAAAAGCATCAATTCTTCAATAGTTGCTCAGCCATGTCCAACCCTTTGCAACCTCATGGACTCCTCTGTCCATGGAGTTTTCCAGGTAAGAATACTGGAGTGGGTTGCTATTCCCTTCTCCAGAGGATCTTCCCCACACTATGTACATACTGGAAATGGGGAGAGAGAATCAGGACAAAGGGTGGGAGCACATTTGCTGAGGATCTTTTGTGTACCAAGCAGTTGAGTCCTTTAAACTCCTTCAGTTTTTACAGTAACCATGTGATATAGCAGCAGCTCCATTTTTATGGGTAAAGAAACCAAGGCTTAGAGAAATCAACCCTTCATGTGGGGCTGGAGTCCAGATTTGAACTTTTGTTTCTTTTTTCCCTCCTCGGTGCTACCCAGAAACAAGATGACAGATTGTAGGCAGTCGTCAATGGTTCTTTCTGTCGAAATTAACACATGGTGAAGAGTTCGTTTATGTTTTCTTTTTTTCTGGTCAGAATTGTACTCAATGCAAAGAGCCGTTGCAAAATTGAGAATAAGGAATAGCTAAAATGGTATTTGCAAACAAATTGGAGATGAAAACATAACGTGGAGTAGGTGTGAGAGACAGAATGGGTCCTATGAGTTATCACAGATAACTCTGTCCTTTCTGATAGCTTTCTTAAACTGACTTTGTAAGCTCTTGCTTCCCATCACTGGATCCTTATATGTTTAAAATGAAGAGTTGTCACGCTTAGTTTTTCTTTACAACATTAGTAGTTGCTAATTTTTTCAAGTTGGCAAAAATAGATTAAAAGTGTGTTTGTAACATGAATATATGTATATGTATGTGTGTGTATATGTATCTGTATCTGGGGTTTCCCTGGTGGCTCAGATGGTGAAGAATCTGCCTGCAATATAGGAGACCCTGGTTCAATCCCTGGGTTGGGAAGATCCCCTGGAGAAGAGAATGGCTACCCATTCCAGTATTCTTGCCTGGTGAATTCTGTAGACAGGGGAACCTGGCGGGCTACAGTCCATGGGGTCTCAAAGAGTCAGACACGACTGAGCACTAACACTTTTTCATATCTATATCTATTTATACAGAGAGGCTGTGTACTCCTATCATCCCCCAAATGATTTGTGTTAATGGTTTGATACTGTGCTTCCATTTCTTTTTTCTCTGCATTAATCTGGGTGGATATGTTTTCATATTGTTTGATTATATACAGTGGTTATCAAGCAAAAGCAGTTTTTAAGCTTCCTTTTTTTTACTTTTAACATTATATGTCAGTTTCTTTTCATTCCATTTTAATCTATATTGTTTGTAACAACTGCACAGTGAGCTATCAATGCTTTGTGTCTGCATCAGGTTTTAGTTGTGACATGCAGGATTTTTTTGTTTTTCTTTAGCCGCAGCATGCAGTCTCTTTGTTGAGAAGGAAATGGAATGGCAACCCACTCCAGTAATCTTGCCTGGAAAATCTTATGGACAGAGGGGCCTTGTGGACTATAGTCCATTGGGTCACAAAGAGTTGGACACGATTTAGCAACTAAACAACAACAAGTATTGGCTCTTAGCTGTGGCATGTGGGTTCTTGGGGCATATGGGTTCTAGTTCCATGACCAAGGATTGAACCTGCATTGGGAGTGTAGAGTCTTAACCACTTTACCACCAGGAAAGTCTCCTATCACATTTTTAAAATACCACGTTTTAATTGACTGTTTAGTTTTTCGGCATTTGGATTGTTGCTATTTGTTTACTTTTATGACATGATGCGGACAAGGCACTGGCACCCCACTCCAGTACTCTTGCCTGCAAAATCCTCCTGGACAGAGGAGCCTGGTAGGCTACAGTCCATGGGGTTGCTAAGAGTCGGACTTGACTGAGCGACTTCGCTTTCACTTTTCACTTTCATGCATTGGAGAAGGAACTGGCAACCCACTGCAATGTTCTTGCCTAGAGAATCCCAGGGATGGGGGAGCCTGGTGGGCTGCCATCTATGGGGTCGCACAGAGTCGGCCACGACTGAAGCGACTTGGCAGCAGCAGCAGCAGCATGACATGATGATGAACTTCAGGAATAAAACTTTGATCTCGTTCTTAAGTGTGACTTTTAAAAAACAAAGTGTGTCCTCGAATGGAATTACAAGGACAAAAAGGGTGAATATTTTTTTGGAATTTTTATGAGGTGACCACACTTCCATTAAAGGGTTCCATTTCAAATGTTCATTCCTTGAAAACAAATGTGCTTTGGCTTCCATGGAGATTCCCGTGGCAGCTGAGACGAGACCCTGCCCAGAGTGATCTTCATAAATGGCCTTCGCTTCTGGAAGCTTTCATCACACTGGTGTTTGGCATTATTGTCAGCCTTCATCAGTAGTAGTAGTATCTTTAGTAGTATTATCAAATGGTACTAAGATGTGTGACTCGCTGATGTCCCCGCCCACCTGAGGGACATCTGGCATGCCTTTGTTCTTGTATGTTCTCGTGTCTGACTCTGCGACCCCATGGACTGTAGCCCGCCAGGCTCCTCTGTCCATGGAATTTTCCAGGCATGAGTACTGGAGTGGGTTGCTATTTCCTACTCCGTGGGGTCTTCCTGACCCAGGGATTGAACCAGCCTCTCCTGCACTGGCAGGCGGGTCCTTTACCACTCAGCCACCTGTCATTCCTTAATAGCATGTGAGGGTCTCAGTGTTAGCGCTCCATGGGCCACCCCTCTGTGAGTACATCCTGTCTTGCTACCCAGTGAAGAGTGGCATGTAGATCATGACCAGGTCCTTCCTGTGTGTTTATCTGAGAGTGAAAAGAATGGAGCAACAATAACCTACTCCATTGTAGCTTTAAAAAAAATAGATAAATGTATGGTTTAATGATACCATTAAGTAGTCATTTTTAATGGCACAGAAATGTAATAAGACTTTAAGGAATATATCTATCCAGGAACAATTAGACATTGGTTGCAAAAATATATACAGTATGATTCAATTTTTGAAACCTTTATTTCTTTTGTGAATGTTTTCTCCAGTGAGCCTATATAATTTCTATAATAACAAATTTTATTTAAAAATATCTGAGTGTAGTAGTTGCATGGGATAGTTATTTCAAAAACATTACTCTCCTTCTCCCTTGATTCAGATACATTTTCTTCTAAAAGAACTTCACAAGCCCAGCTGTAAATTACGTGAACAAATCTTGAAGAAAATATTCATTCATTTACTCTACAAATTTTTATCAGAACCTTTTGATGTACCAGGCACTATTTAAAATGCTTGTGTAAAAAATTAAATGTAGTGATTTTCTTTTTGCTTTCTCCTACTCTTTCTCTTCACTTCCCTGTCTAGTCTGAAGTTTCCTGGATCCCCAACAAACACTACTCTGGGATTTATGGTCTGATGAAGCTTGTCCTCACCAAGACTCTTCCTGCCAACCTGGAGAGGGTCATCGTCCTTGACACAGACATCACCTTTGCAACAGACATTGCCGAACTCTGGGCTGTGTTCCACAAGTTCAAAGGTAATTATAGCTCTTTTTTGTTTTTCTGACATCTTTGAAGGTATTGACTGACATGACAAGAATAGCAGTTGTATTTTTTTTTTAATGTGAGGGCAGCTCTTAATGAGGTCATGCTAATGAAATAGACAAGGAATTATAAATAGAGGTGAGCATCAGTTCTACTCTCATTTGATACATGTCAGAGAAAAACTGGGATTGGCTTGGATGTCTTTAATAATTGAAGAGGTAAGATCTGTGTTCATAGGAAGAACCCAATTGAGGGTTGTTGAATTGCTTTGTAAGAGACAGATATCAAATGTGTGTATTTTGTGTGCCCATAATTGAGTGTTGGCTTTCTCATGTGGAGACACGCATTTATTGGTTTTCCCTTTTTATCAAATGATACTTTGATTGCTGAGAAAGCCTGTGAGATGGTGGTGATGGCTACTCATTATAGAGTGTTTGAAAATGTTCTTATGACTTTTTCTTTCATTAAAATTTAATGGTTTATCATTTTAAGGAAGTAAATTTGGCTTTCTAAGAGGTTCTTTCTGGTCAGTTTCTTCTTAGTTTTTATTGTTAACTCTTGCCACTGCCCCAAGGTATGTGTGAGTATCAGATAGGAAATTGTGAGGACAGTCAGTGTTTATAACTGGTGTGGATGCATGAGAGAAGCAGCAGGCACCAACCCTGCTGTTATTTTAATACCCCTCTCCCCGGCGTCATCCTTCAAATTACCTTATTAGTTTTATATTCTCAATATTAGACAAATACATTGAGAGATAAATCTAGTGGTGAGTTTTGTTTTTTTTTTTCATTCTTCTGGCTTCTGCACTCTGGCTTCTGTGTTTAAAATCCCTCCTGCCTCTTCTCTGTCGCTCCTTATCCTCTGAAGGTGAAATATTGCTTCCTGGTTTTAATCACAGCATTCTCAAGAATCACAGGCTATTCCAGTTGGTTTCTGTTTCCATTCACTGACAGAAGAGTAAACTCCTCACCCACTCCAGCCTCTGCCTGCTTCCTTCTGGGAGCCTCCCACCTTTGGGATAATTGAAAAAAGTCCTCAGCACACCATGGGAATGAAACTACTCTGACCCTTGCACACTTTTCCTTGTCAGGATCAAAACTTTCCTTATCTGTGTCAATAATGACACTAATAGACTGTTGAAACAGAGTGTGTCTCAGCTTTCTGATCGCTTCTTCATAGAGTGTTTGGACCTGTCGTTTTAGTTCACAAATAAAGGAACAGGAGCTTGGCAGGATGCAAGGTTCCACTTGGAGCTGAGACCAGAGTGCGTGTGCACATTGTCTTCCCTGCGCGTCTCTTTTCAAGGCCCCCATCACATCTACTTGTTTTTGTTTTTTCCTGATTACAATGCACTCTTTAGGGGCATTTTTTTCTATAGTGATGTGGCATTTTATTCCTATTTTAGTGCTGACCTCAGGATTCAGTGATGTACTTATTCAACAGGCACTTGTTGCATCCCCGCTGGGGGTCACCGGCTGTAAGGAGTCATCCACTGGGCCCTGGCTGTATGATGAGAAGTTAAGTGGGGAGGACGGGTCACCGCCTCCCGTGGAGGGAGGGACCTCCACCTCCAGCTGGGACCATGTCACTGTAGACCTGATGATCATGTCCGTCTTGCAGGATGAGAGTTGTGGTTGTGTGTGGTGGACACTCACATTCCCCTTGGGGAGGAAAGGCTCATTCCTCCAGCTCCTGGGAGACTGCCTGCAGGTGGGCTCTGCTCTCGGCCGTCTTTGGGGAATGGTCTCAGGTGAAGAGAGTCACCTTGCCCGGGGCCACGCCCACACCATGGACTGAATGATGCATGTGAAATCTTGCAGGATCCACTGGCATCTCCCTGGCAGCCACATTTCTCCCTGTGGCGAATCCTGCTGTCATGCTGCCCCATTCATAGATGCTGTTCCGAGAATTCTCCCTAAGTTAACCCCCAGCATGCTCACTCCCATTCCTGCATCTACTTCCCGAGAAACTGAGCCTGCCATATACATTCAGAGCTGCAAGTCTCTCTTGGATGAGTGTAACCCAGCAACATCCCAGGGATGGGTGGTCCCTAAAGGTAACCTGTCACTGGGAAATCACATCTATTCTGTCCCAGCAAGGACCTGCCACCACGCTGGTGGGGTTCCGTCGCCCGTCACAACCACAGTAATAATCCTGGTGTTAAGCCCACCCACCCCCATATCCCCATGGACGGGAAGGCACCCAAGGCTCTTGCTGCTCCCGGAGATGACCCAAGGATGTGGATTTGGAAGGCTCAGAGACTCAAGACAGCTCCTGGGGCAGAGCAGAGTATATGGGCCAAGGTCAGGGCCGGGGAAGTTTGACTGCAAGGAGTTCAGTTAATGGGCTACATTTATTTGCCCATCCTCTTGTTGGTTCATTTCGAGCATTAGTCAGGCCCCCACAGTGCAGAGGAATATATTAGATGCTGTTGTCAGAACAGAGCACCGGCCTTCACGGCGCTCACAAGCAAGGAGTACTGTGCCTGTGTTTACCCATCACCAGCAAAGGAGTGTAACAAGCGTCTGAGGTTTTCCCATGCCCACCCTAACTTTTCTGGGAAAATAAGGAAATGGAAAGAAAGTAAGCAAGCTCTTCTCTTTTCCATATGGTGCTCTTTAGTATAGGGTTGTGTGTGTGTTTGTGTGTGTGTGATTATTTTTTCTAAACAGAATGATTAGAAGCCAGGTCATGGAATAGGAGTGAAGTCCCCTAGGACAGACCCATAAATGTGGAACACTCTGACCCAGGAGGGAAGGTTCCCCTCTCATAAAGGTAATCGCACTTGATATCTTTCACTGTAAACCTTTTGAGTGACACTGATGCCGTTTGGCCTTGCTGGGATTTCTCTGGCCTGGAACAGCTAATTTATCTGGGCTGTAGTGACTAGTGTTCAGTCTCATATAGACTTGACTCCTTAAGCATGCTATGAAATCCCCCTTACCTAAACTCATTACGTGGAGAACCTAGTAAAGAGCTTTTTAGTAAGGACTTAGGCCAGCCTCAGTCTCTGCCGTGGTCATCGCCTATGTGGCATTTGTCTGTCTCTGATCAAGTCTGCTCCAGCTGGCATGGGGGCAGAATCAAAGGCATAAGGAAGTGTGATTTTCCCCAGATTTCAGAAATAAAACCTCCATCTGCAGAATACTGGCCCAGCTTGTGAAGTTCCAGGACACCCTCTTTAAAGTAGCTGTGAGCCCTAGGAAGTCTCCGCATGTATTCATCATGATCCGGTAGAATAAGCCAAAACTGGAGCCCCTCTGGAGGCTCTGTGACCACAGGCAGGTTACTTGACTCCTCTGGGCCTCAGTCAGCCAAGAACAATGCCAGCAGGGTCCTTGCAGGAAATGCACAGATAGTTTGCATTATTCTTCCCATGTTCCATTTTCTCTAAGGACTCCTGACAGCAGGTGTGGGGTAACAGCAGACACCATTAATGGGTATCCGCTCCAACACCTTGCAACTTTGCCCACAAAGCTATGGGGCAGCTGTAAAGTGTACAGTAATGTAAAAAAGCCAAATATGAAGAACTTTGGAAGTATTATTTTTGAAAGGACATTTAAGAACTTCTGTGGTTATAATCACTTGCCTTGAAGGGGTTTTTGGACCCTCTAGGGCCTTTGTGTGGGACCTTCCCGCATCCCTTCCTCCCTGCTTCCCTGCTCCTCCAACCCCACCTCCCTACCTTCCACATCTATTCAGCCACTCATTCATTGATTCATTATCTTTTGAGCCCTTGGACCTGTCCTTTGCCTTGGGGATAAAATAGTAAGTCACACAGACCCAGACCTGCCCCCATGTTGCTAATTACTATCAGCTGTTTTTCTGTGTCGGGAGCCAGACTATCCTGTTTCCCCCTCAGAAGTCTTTAAGTGTCTTGCCAGAGATCCTACAGCCTGCACGAGGCAGTGGTGGGGCCTGGATGGAAGCTAGGCCGACCCCAGGCTGACCTCAGAGCCTACTAGATGTTTAACCACTGGATTCTAGATCCAGCTGAACTCACAGTTACATAAAGTGTGGAAAGTACCTTGAAAGGCAGAATTCACGGTGAAGCAGAGTCACATTTGAGGGGAAGCAGCCTTGGCCAAGGGGCTTCCCTGGTGGTTCAAATGGTAAAGAATCTGCCTGCAATGCAGGAGACCCAGGTTCAATCCCTGGGTCAGGAAGGGCCCCTGGAGAAGGGAATGGCAACCCACTCCAGTAACTCTTGCCTGGAGAATTCCATGGACAGAGGAGCCTGGTGGGCTACAGTCCAAAGGGTTGCAAAGAGTCAGACACAACCGAAGCGACTCAGCAGCAGCAGCAGTCTTGGCCAGGGAGGCTTATGAAGGAAGAAGCGATGGCAACGTGAGCTTGATGGCCCCATGTAGCAGGGATGCAGTATCCAGAGGCCAGAGGTCCCGAGAGAGAGCAGTGCAGACACTGAAACACACTGCAGTCTGTTCCTCAGACAGACCAGGCGGGCCCTGCTTTGGTCATTTGCTCTGATGTCCCCGTGATGGGAATGCTAGTCCCCCAGGTCCCTCCCTGTCTTGCTGCCTGAGCTCCCTTTAAGGTTTTGCTCAAAGTTCAGCTTCTCTCACGATTTCTGCCAACTGGCCCCTTTAATCCTACAACCTGGGGTACCATCCCATTCCTCTCACACTGTTCTTTCCTGTTTTTTTACTGCATCCATCATCTTCTAATCTAGTCCATAATTGCTTATTAAGATTGCTCTGCTCCACCCGGGAAGCCGCACAGACCCCCCAGATACCAAGGACCTGGCTGGCTTTACCTGATTATTGTGTATCTTTCCAGCTAATACATACGTACCTTGAGGGCAGAGGTCTTTGTCTTCTTCCTGACGCTTTCCCAGCACCTAGAACAATACCTGGAAGGTGCTCTTTAAGTAAATGAACAGATGAAACATGTGATTTCAGGTTTGCAGAGTAGGAAATAAGGCAAGAGAACCACGAAAGGTTTTGTCAGTTGCAGCTTTGGGTTTTATCTAAAAGTAACTGAAAACCAGTTGAGAGTTTTAGGTACAGAAAAGGATGCTCAGATTTTCAAATTTGAAAAGGTTCCTTTGGCTGCAGCGTGGGGTTGTTCTATAAGATGAAGCAGAAAATCAGTGCCTTGAAAGAAAGTTTTGGCAGTAGGCGGGAGGTTGTCTACTGCTATAGTCCATGCAAGATATGGCAGTGGCCTTATAGCAGAATGTTGCCCTTGGGGGCAGCAGGTGATGTCGAAGAGAGAGAAGAGAGACGAAGGCGAGAGTGGAGTGGATGGCCCCAGGTGTTGGGTGTGTGCAGGTGGAATGAATAGGTCTGGATCTTACAAAAGCCTCTGGGCTAGAGGTATCTTTAGCTGTTTCATTTTTGGAATGAAAATAAAGCTATTTTATTAAAATGTTCCCATTGGACTATGACAATTTCCTTTTCCGATTTCCAGGTGTAGAATCCAGGGGTGCTGATGCTGTGACTCCCAGCCCTGAAGGGAGGGTGGCTGGCTGGATCTGCTGTTTAGCCAATGGGAGGTTCATGGGTGATGGCAGGTGGAGGTCAGCACGTCCAAAGGCTGGGTGAAGTNGGTGTAGAATCCAGGGGTGCTGATGCTGTGACTCCCAGCCCTGAAGGGAGGGTGGCTGGCTGGATCTGCTGTTTAGCCAATGGGAGGTTCATGGGTGATGGCAGGTGGAGGTCAGCACGTCCAAAGGCTGGGTGAAGTGTGATTGGCAGGCTGTGATTAGCAAGGATGGGGAGCAGACTTCTTGGGAGAAAGAGTTATGGAGTACACCCTAATTGTGTCAGGAGACCCTGACAGTGCAGCTCACACCCAGTGAGTGATGTCAGTTCCTGCCTCTAGTTACCACTGTGTCATCAAGCCAGCCACGTCCTGAATGCCCTGTCTGTGTGGGATGGGACAGGACAGCCACGCCCATGCTCCCCAGGGTCCCCCAATGGGGCAAAGGGACCTCTGTCCACTGTGTGAATTTCCTTCGTGCACAGGGATGCAGGCTCTCTGTGAAGTGAGCTAGAGAGACACTATGAGTCTCCTAGGGAAGAGAAGTTTCTAGAGTGCTGTGAGGTACTTCTTCCACTTCGTCCTCATTCAGGTCAAGGGTCCACTTCCGGAGTCATTGGACATAGACGTCCGGGGCCTTTCCTAAGGCTGCCTCCCATCCGTCTTCTCACCGTCTTTCTAACCTTGGCAGTATTCATGTCTCTGGACCTCTGTTTCTTACTGGCAGAGTGGGGATGATGGCGTGGCGAGGGTGATGTGAAAGGAGACGTAAAAAGGTCTCAGCACGGTGCCTGATGCAGAGGAGGGACCAGCAGTGTATCGCTGCTGTTTCTAATATGTGAGTCATTTTACTGTCATCACAGTAAGCAGCTGTCTGCCTACCTGAAAGAGTAAAGGTGGGAAAATCTTCATCTTGGAGGAGATGGTGTTAGTCCTCTATGAGTAAGAAAATTTCCCCAGATATCCTCGATCAAGATGAGGATGGAGGGCTGGGTA